TTCTGCGTGACTTTTATCTTCTGTATTTTCAATAAAATCACGCGACATTTATATTCTCCGCTTCAAAACACATGCATCTCTCTGTTATATGACATATGCTAATTAGCTCGTGCGACACCAACATGGCGGACGATAACATTTGATAGGTGTATGACGTCACATGAAAACCAAGAATACAAACCAGGAAAAATTATTTATTTTTTATTTTTTATTTATTTCCAGAAATGGATTTTTAATGTCTTACCTTGGTTGGTGTTCTTTCCTTTTTCTACAATAGCTGGACTGTTAGCTGATAGAATGATCAAATCAGGTACATCTTTAATAGCACAGTATTTCAAAACATCTAAAAATTAGCATTACAGTGCGACTACTCCAACCAAAGCCACCTTAACAAATTGTCTGCAAATTATCCAATAGTGTTTGAGTATTTAGACAATAGATTAGCGGCAAATTTTGAATTTAAATATTCTTCTGTTATTGTCTTCGCAAATTAGTGATTTGTGTCACTAAAGATATAGAAAAATAGTAATGCATAACTTCACATACAACAGGAAAGCAAATTAGAAACCGTATAAAACAGTCTTTATGATTACAGTTTGTTTCTTCCAGACAAAGATATAATCAGGCTTACACTGTTAGATCTTATCACCATGCTGTTATGCTATTCCTACTTTTGATTGGCTAATTCGTAGAAAATTTGTCGAGGTGGCTTTGGTTGGAGTAGTCGCACTGTAATAGACCTTTTCCTGATTTGCTATTGAGTATAATCACAAAACAATGTCAATAAGTTTTTAGGTTGAACTTGATGTGACCATACATATTTAAAATACTGTATTTAATGTCAAGTTGGTTTCATCAAGTTCATCCTCAACTTGAATCACTGTTTTGTATTCATTCAGGAGAATACTCCCATTTAGAATTCGCCTTTGCTCAGTCTTATCCTCGATTGTGTACAAATGTGTTATTTTCTTTTATTAAGGTCCATTGTATATTAAGGAATGTATGTACTATGGAATAATACGAGTTGATTAAAATGCCATGTCAGTTTTAGTTGACTAACGGTTGTGTGTTTGTAATGCACAACCAAGACTAAGGATGAGCAAATAGCACTTGAAACTGGAGTATTCAGGAAAAGATCTACTGGAATATTTTGAAACAGAATTTTGAGAAATTTTTAGGAGCATTGGTTTTGTTTTAGTAGYGTTTTTTTACCCATTTTCCTACTTTTAATTATTCTATTTTTTAATCCATTGCAGGCTGGTCAGTGACATTTGTTAGGAAATTTTTTCAGGTAAGTTAGGTTAGATAACTAGGTAGAGAACTGGAAGCCATTTACTGTTACAACATGTCATACTGTACTAACTCAGCATTGTAGGTTTTCATCACTTATGGTAGTCAGAGTGGGGAGCAGCTTATGACAAAGTATGAACCAGAAAACAGAGTTAGAATTGAAGACAGAACTGTTTCAGAGGCAGAATAGTCCCCCTCACAGTTCCCTGCACCATCTTGAAATGTACATGTAGCCATGCCTTTGCATCGAAGCAAGACGAACGGTGAGCTTGCAATGATAGAGACATGTGAATAATTGTCCATGGTGTTTAAAAAAGGTCTCTATCATTGCAAGCTCACTGTTCATCTCACTTCAATGCAAAGGCATGGCTACATTTCAAGATGGCACAGGGAACTGTGAAGAGGACTATTGAAAGAATGGAATGGCTTAATTAGTCTTGCTTGGTTTGTGCTTACGCTCATGACCAGCAGTTTTCACTTGCAATTTCATGCATAACTGCTTTCAACTCCTATTCTGTCACAAGTAATTTAAACCAGGAGAGGCTCTAAATCAAAGATGACTAATTTAGAAAATTGTTGAACAATATCCTGTTATTTTCAGACTTTCTCGATGTGTGGAACAGCCTTCTGCATGCTCTTGTTTGACTGGGTGGTGACATTCCCTCAAGCAATGGTCCTTATTATGATTACTATGGCATGTAATGCTATGGGGAACTGTGGAGTCCCAGTAACACCTCAAGACATGGCACCAAAGTTTGCTGGATCATTATTTGGTGAGCTGGTACACTTCAGCTAGAGTTATTTACATGTATCTTATATGGAACAATAGAATAGATTTGTTTGCTTTGCTAACCTTATAGCTCAGGCTTGTTGCTAGGGGTGGTTGGTGGTTTGAAAGAACCCCCCTCTACCTTTGTAGGAGTATGAAATTATGTTTAACGCTATTTTAGTTTCAAGAATTGGCATAACTAAGATTGGTAGAAAAAACGAACTTCCCCTTTCAAGGGCCTAGCGACAGGCCTGTAGCTATTTTTCTTGGTGGAAACTGTGGCATTGCTCTTGTATTTTCCTGTTAGGTTCACATCCAAAATAAATTTTGAATTATAGTGAAATCTAATAGCTCTGTAGTCAATAATTCTGAGGACCTAATTTTTACATCTTGCTTAGATAGTTTTAGTACCTTCCAAACAGTCATTGAATCTATGAATAAAAACAGTCTATGAATAGAAGGAGTAACACTCCCTCATTCCCTCTCTGTAACTAAGAACCAGTCTATAATTATATTCTTGTTGTTTTCTTCCAGGTTTGATGAATTCTGCAGGCGCATTTTCAGGTAAGCATAATCATTGGGGGGATATAACAAATTTATTTGCATTGAGGTACAAAAAAAGATACAGTATGGCATGGGGTGGCATGGGTGGCGTAGTGGTTTACTGTTCGCCTCTCACTGCTGTGGTCCAGGTTTGAGCACCGGCCTAGACTGGATCATATTTGGTGTGAGTTTATTTTATGTGTTGTTCTCTCCCTTAGAACGATGATTTTCTCTGGGTTGTCCGGTCCCCCCCCCGTAAAAGTCAACATGTGTGTTGAGTGTTGTATGTTGTAATGTTGTAAATATAGAATGTAGTGGTAGTGTGTGTGATGGGAACCTCACAAAAGAGCCTTGTACAGGGAGTGGCGTTGTTGGATATAGGTTTTATATAAGTATAAGAGGTTAACCCTATCGAGAATATTTCCTAAGATCAAATTGGAATTTAGATAGGATAGCATTGCACAGTACCATACAACTCATTTGTATCTAATACTTTTATCTTTCACACAGGGATTGTGCTAGTACCTATCTCTGGTCATGTCCTAGAGATCACTCAGTTATGGAGCTCAATATTCCACATTAATACTGCCATACTGCTATTTGGAGCTGCAGTTTTTCTTATTTTTGGCACTGCTAAACAAATTGCATAATGTGTAGTTCCAAAAATTTTCCATACCCCCCTCACGGAGGAATTTTTTTAAGACACCCCCCTACCCCCCAGAAATTCCAATTTTCTTCCACACAAACTCTGTAATCTTTGTTCTTTCTCTGACCCCCTACTCTTCAAAAATTCCAAATTTCTTTTGGGTATGGATGATTTCTGGATATACACAATAAACATAAATAAGGTCACTAGTAAGCATTCATGTAATGCTACATACCCTTCTCAGTTTAGATTGGCTTGACAAATGTTTTGTTGGTGCATGTTGTTGTCACTGGCAATGAAGCCGGCTATTACTAAGGGCCAGTTTGAAATAATCAGGAGAGGAAGAAAGGAAGACACTTGTTTTTATCGATCTCTTCACCATAGTCTCCCTCACATCCGTTTTTAGTGTTTTACTCCACCTTTCCAGTCGAAAGCTAGAAATTCTGAAAGGCGGAGTCCAGGCGACTCGGGGCCGGCCAACCTTGAGATCCCCAGGGCATTTGGGCGGGGGAGACTATCTTCACCAGGGCAGGACCCAAAACTCTGTGTGATATAGCTAAGGGTGGGTTAGAGACCCGTTTATGAGCAGATCAATAATGGAAATCAAGTATTAAATTGGAAGATTAAGAAAATGTAAATTTTTTGTAATCCAATTGGAACAGGCTCCCCAGTCCAACCATCTCTAGCGGACTATAAATCCCTAAGATCTATAATAGACCCTTTTACCTTGGGCATACCATTCCTTTAAGAACAAGACTCTTTGTGGGAGTCGTATCTACATTCATGTGTCTAGTCTACAACTATGTGTGCAGTCGTTAAACATAAAATCTTATTCTCCAGGGAATGTCACCTGGACCTGCGCCAGCGAGCCCGTTGTGCCCGCGGACATTTGTGCCTGTCATGCGCGCGCGCCCGCGCCAGTGACGCCTGTTCATTACTGTTGTTATTGGTCGGCCATCTTGCGACTACGTTTCATGATTAAAGCTTGTTCATTCGTTTACGTCGTTCGTCGTGTTTACTGGCGCTGATTGTATGAGGGGTGGATAGCACTATCCAAGGGATAAATATTATTCCGTGGATTAATGTATTGAATGTTATTTAAATACATGTATTGATTTATCCACTGAAAAAGAATCTATACATCGGATAGCACTATCAACTCATCGTACAACCAAGACCAGATTGTTTTAGCAACATTTTGGTACATCTTTCTATATAGTACTCTCTTATCTTTGGCAGAACGTCGATCCCTTGGAAATGATATTATTATTGGAAATCTATTAAATTGATTTTAATGCATTTGATTTTATATTATATATTATTATTGTAAATTTAAGAGGCAGTAAAGAATAATTAAGTTAAAAATGATGTAGAAATAGTATAAGAATTGCAAATAAACATTTCAAAAACGTACCTTTATAATTTGGCTCAATTCTAATTAATTGATTAAATTTATTTAATTAATTTTGAATTTTTTTTTAATATTCAAATATTCGTTTGAATTCTTTGTATTTGCCAAGTGAACCGATGTTCGTAACGCATCGTTCGTTCCCATAGTGACGTAAAACTTAGTACGTCACGCAATCTTCTCCCAACAATGTATTGACTAACACAATGGCTGAATCGTCCTATTATCTTTTTTGGGGGGTTTACAGTAGCGAGATTGAGCCTATATTGCTTTTAGACTGCTACCATTGGTATTAGACAGTAGGAAGTAGCGAATTATCTTAAATATCGCTTCAGATATTCAGAAATAGATTTGCATTAATTTTAGAAAAACTAATGACACGTGTCAGAAACCTTAAACAACGAAGTCCTAATCGAAATATCAATATGGAAGACGATGTTATACCGCTGTCGAATCGCTTGTTATCCCATTCAAAGGAAGAAAGTCTATTAGCCACTAAGTTTCACTGGTCGAGAGCTGATCGACCGAAGTGGTTGGCCGCGCTCATGTGCGCCTGTTCGTGTTTATATACTACCAGAATCATAATGCCCTTGTGCATGGTATTAGTGGCTGAAGAGTTAAATTGGGATAAAAGAGAATCGGTAAGTGATATATTGATACCTTTGTTTGGTGTTTAATGATATGTTGTATCATATCAAGGTATTTTTTACACTTTTTGTTTTGCTGGTATTAGTCTCCATCCACGTTCATGATAACACAGCTGTTCGCAGGTCTAGAATACCATTTTTTGAATCAAAATGGGCTTAAGCAGTATCGTTCTCGATGCATAAAGCTTTTAAAAACATTTTATTCATGCCATCCATTTAAATAAATGAATTATATTCCCGAAAAATTTGAAAAATGAGTTATTGAAATTGGGTCACCAACGTACCCCTACCCCGTTGGGAAAATTTCCTTTTGTGGGGTCGGGAGGTTGGTGGGGAAAAATGGAATGGTAGATTTAGAGTCGATTCCATTTTTATCCATTTATCCATCAGCTCTTACTTCCATCCACCAATCTATCTATTCATCCATCCATCCCTCCATCTATTCACTTCTCCATTTTGCTCATCCACATCTTTATTGTTTCAGGGCCTGGTTTTGTCCTCATTTTTTTGGGGTTATCTTATCACTCAGATCCCAGGTGGATTCCTTAGTGATGTGTATGGAGCTGAAAAACTTGTGATGTGGGCAATCATTGGATGCTCTGTCACTACCATGGTTATCCCTATTGTAACCAGTTCAGCTTTGAGCATATTGTCATTTGCCTCACCTTTAGCACTTGTGGTGGCAGTTAGAGTGTGTCTTGGGTGCTCACAAGGCAAGTGTTCCATTTCTGTTAGGGCTGTCATGCTCTCTAGCAGGGTGAAGTATGTAGGGGAAATGCACCCTTTGTGAATCCATGCCCCAATTTAAAATAAGCAATACAATGGACTTAAATACAGTAGCCAGTATCTTTCTAGGGGGCAAGATGAAACAAAGATGATGAAAATTATATAGAGTTCCGTGTSTTTGTCTTATGGGTAAAGGAGATTGATGTACCATCCTTATTCATCTTTTGTCATATTTTCTTGTGGTGAGCAGCTAGCAGGTAATATCAATCAACGTCATTACTGCAACAAAGATTATTTTATTTGCCCCCTGGATGCCCCCCAATGCCTTGCAATCCAAGATGGTCACCCCATCATCAAAGTAGTTCATTAATTTTGGTTAAAGTTCAAATCTTACAGTGAACTGGTTGAGTATTTGTTGTATATTTGTGAAGTTGTTAATCTAAGAGGGGTTAAATGAAATCTAAATTTTAAATTTCTTTGTACATTGGAATCATATAATTTGGAAATAATGGGGCTTCTTCCATGTAAATTTAGGAGGAAATTGTCTTAATTCATCCTCAAAATTCTCTTCTAAAGCGATTAATGATGGACTTCAACACCAAACATTCCTCAATTCAGCTCTGCTTCTCTGCATCTTTATCCACATGTAATCTCTCTGTTAGGGGAGAGAACAATGACCATTCTCAAATGGTAAAATGTTAATGTACAACTTTATAATTATTGTTTTTAACAGGTATATTCTATCCAGCTACTTACAGCATTATCGGGAAATGTTTGCCAATTAGTGAGCGTTCATCAGGTGGTGCATTAGCACTGGCAGGGGGTCCACTGGGGTAGGTGTTTTTAATTAAGGGGGAGGGGTGGATGGCAGGATTGTGTTGAGTGGTGCTTTGATGGTCAGCTGAAACACTTAATTTTTTGGCATTTCAATCAATTGTTTTCTAAGGGATTTTTTCATCTCCACTTTTCATTACAACAAACAGCTGAATTTTAATGCAAGCAGATTCCATCAATCAAATTATCCAACCATTCATCCCATCCCTTCACATTTCATCCTTTTTCTATCCATTATACCCATATTATATCCATTATGCACCCACCCACCCATCCAAACATCCATTGTTTTGTCAGTCTGTCCAATTGAATTGTGTCCCACACATCCTGTCCATCATATTACTTAGTAAGTAGTAATAAAATATGCATTCAGTGTGTATAATGAAATACATAATATTTCATCATATTACTTGTTTCATCCCATCACACCCCATCCCTTTTGGGGGGATTTCATTTTTAAGGACATGGGAGGGGGATTGGCAAAATCGAATGAAAAGCTTTACAAACACAACCCACCCCCTCCCCCCTAATGGTAGAGGCAACATTTACGTAACCCCCTTTCATCACCCTGCAATAATTTCCAACCTCCCCCAATATACAAAAAAACCTAACCACTTTCTCAAAATAACGTTACCCCCCTACAATTTTGCCAACCCACCCCCATCCACTGATAAAATTTATTAGAATAAAATTTATTAATGAAATCCCTCTAATATCCATCTCATCCAGATGCCCACCCACCTATCCATCCATCCATTTATCTGTTCACTTATCCATTTATCTAACTACCCACTCCTATGCCAGTCTTTCCCATCCATCCATTCATTATGTTA